CGATGAGCTTAAAGGTCTTTCCCAATCCAGGTGATTCTGGGATCCTGTCAGTGTATAAGCCCAGAAGGCTTTTGGGCAATGACAACACCCCAAAACTATAACAAACTACAGCTTGGCAGTAAAATTGTAACTGGTTATTTTTGTCCTTAGCTCTAATGACATTCATGTTTGCTTCTTAATTTAACAGCTGATAAGTACAAGGATTCTACCCCTGACGGTGCTAAAAACGCTGACAACACAGCGAAGAACGCTGAGCCGCTGATTAACCTGGATGGTGAGTGTGCAGCAATCAACTGTCTGGGTCTCTCACACGTGAATGTGTTACTTTTGTGATTCTCTTTGGATTTTAAGTTGTTCCTGTGATACATACATCTTTTTAAAGCCCCATTTAAAGCTTTAGCAATGCAGAATATATGTTCTTCACCTGGTGGTTTAAGCTGCCTCTCTGAGAACAGAGATATGCACTGATGCAGAGCTTTCTCTCTTGATAAAGGGCAGGAGGGAAAATCTTTCTCAGCAGAACGAGATGCCCAGAGACTTAATCCTTTATTAATAAAGTTGGGAAGGCTCAAAACAGGCAGTGAGGAAGAAGCTGAGGGGTTTGCAGAAACAGCTTTGCAGAAAGCTCTAGAAAACATGAATACTTACTGTGGGTTTAGGTGAAATAGCAAGATACTTTTTGCCTCTAGACTCTAACATATCTTTCTTTAAAACATAAAAGCTAAGGAAACATGACAGCACACAGTTTACTTCAATACTGTCACATATTACGTGTTGCCTTGGTCTTCCCCAGCTGTACCTCTCTCATCAGCATTGTAATTTTATTTTTTTGACTGCTAAGCATATTCACAATAAATGGAAGTGGTGAAAAATAGCTGCTAAAAATAGCCCTAAATCCCCCAAGTCTTCTCTCATTACTCCTTCTACCAAAAGACAGCGAGGGAATTGGTCCTGCCCTCACCCAGCAGGCACAGTTCTGCTCTGCACTGATAGAAAGATTTAGAAAAGAGAACATCTTCCTGTAATTGGCTTCATTTTTAAAGACTTAACACAAGTTTCCCCGTGCAGTAGGACATTTTGGTGTTGAAAACGATGGGTTTTGTGCTTTGCTGGTGTGCTGTGACCTGGTTACAAAGCCTGGTGCACACTTTGATTTCTCTGTAGCCACACTAAGTGATTGCTCAGTGCTGTGTCCATGGCCCTGCCCAAAATTGAGAGCAGTCTGATATCCTGGAGTCAGGAAGCCAATTCTGTCTTTTAGAACCAGTTTAACTAGCATATATATTTTTAATGCTAATTATTTTTACAGTGAATAATCCTGATTTCAAGGCTGGAGTGATGGCTTTAGCTAATCTGCTTCAAATTCAACGGCATGATGATTACTTGGTAATGCTTAAGGTGAGTTTCAGAGTTTTCAGACCTCCTTTCTTCCTTCTTTTCCCCAGTGGCTGATAACATGTGTAATCACTTGTGGTACAGTTACTGATAACTATGGCTTTGTAGGCACAAAGAGAAAATAAAACTCATCCTGTAGGTGCCTTTCCAAGCAGGTAAGAACACAGAATGTAAATCATGGACATTATTATAATTATCTTGGTAAATAGTTAAGTTGTAGCTGAGTTCCTGGAATTCTGACACTTAAATGTTGTTCAGAATTTGGAGTGCCCTAGGTTAGCTGAAATACTGCTTCATGAGTTCTTAATGAACCTCAGAAATATTGAGGAACACACTCAAAGGAGAAGATTGTATTCCAGTGCTAGAAATTAAGAGAAAGTTGAAAACCTAGAGGCTAAGTGATGCAAAGGACTTTTTAAAATAAACCTCCTAGGGAGGAGCTACAGTTAAAAGCTTCTTCCTCCTCCTTCTGATCCTATGAACTGTTTAGTCCTTGTCATCACTGAAGTCAGTTTCATTTACTCTTGCCAACTAATCATGGGTTTTCAATGCAGTAAATAGGCTAATTAATTTTCTAAGGCATCTCTTTTTATGACTTTGAGAAGATTTGTGACTTACTGGTGGAACTCTGTAGTTATCTGTAAATTTGGGGTTGCACCTGTGCTGTATTTTTGAAGTACTGGATTTACTGAGGCTGTAGCCATCCTGAGTTCCTGCTTGATTGTGGCATAACATGGAAATAAGCTGAGTTTTGTTTGGCACTAAAATAAACTTATTTCACTGGAAAGAAAATAAAATTAAAAAACCAAACCAACCAACCAACCAAAAAACAACAAAAAAAACCCCCAACAAACAATGATGTCCATCCATTACAGAAGCTGTGATATTTGCTAAATTTATTTTGGAGAAACTAAATGCCATGGGTATTGAAGTTTATGTGGAGTGTGTAAATCTGTGACAGGAACACTTATCGTGGTAGCCTGGTTTCCTAAGGAATTAATGACCTGCCATTATCCCATCAACCACTTTCTCATTCTCTCCAGTATGGTGTCCTCCTTTACCTTCCCAAAATAGCCTTTGAACTCTTAATCAGTCTTTAAAGAGTGGTGGAGATCTTGTATATCAAACTTGTACCAAATTAAATAAAAAACAAGCCCAAACTCTACAAAAATAAGTGAAAAGGGGTGTCAGGTAGAGAGAGAAGAGGCCACATGAATGACAACATTAGGGATCTGCAGCATCAGCTCAGCCTTTAGTGGACAGAGTTCCTGCAGGTCCTCTTGCAGGCCAGCAAACTTCAGAATCTGGGTTCATCTCATCTGGTGCTAGCAAGTCAAAGAGATAGCAGAATGTGTTTTCTACATAAATATATTTATGTTTTTGTCACTATTTCCCCGTTTTCCCTATTTCTAGTCTCACTTTTTTGGGACAGAAGTGGCTGGACAAAACCACCAGCCTGACTTTTTTTATTTTATTTATTTTTAATCACAGTGAGAATAGATTCCTGCAGTGGCACTTCATGTTATATGAATAACAGTAATGCTGGTTTTCAGGGTTTGATGATATGAAAATGTAAAACTCTTTAATTCCACACCACAGTAAGCAGGTTTGCAGTGTGCACCTGGAGAAGTTATGATCCCTGTTGAGGTTTGGACACCCTGGAATGGATGCTTAGGGAAGACCAAAGGGTGTGAGCGTGCCACAGACATCCAGCCAGAGTGACCAGAGAGATACTTGGAGTCCTATTTTATTAATTGAAATGTGGCAAGTTGATGAGAAAGCAAGTGTGTAACACAGTTGGATATCCTTCTAATGCAAAAAGCACTCAAAATTCCCTTACACAAGGTCTGGATTCACTGCTGGAATTTAAAATTAAATTAAGCTCTTATCCAGGCTTCTCCTTTCAAGTTACAAAGATTCCTAGCAGTATTCAGTGGTAAATTTTGAGTCTTGCTTCTCAACTTTAATCATGACCAAAACCAGGAGAAATCTTTTTGTGGGGGAGAAACATGAAGCAGTAAGACTGTTTCTGTCACATTTGGCTACTCCTCAGGGAAAGTCGGAGGAATGTGTTTGACAGCCCCAGTTCTCTGTGGTGGAAGTCTGCCTGCATGGTTATGCCTTCAGTTATTTTTAGAGGCCTTTCCAGCTGTAGGTATCTGTCACTGATCGCTCCGATATGATTTCACGCTGTGTACTGCAGCCAGTAAAAACAGAAGAGCAGCAGGATTGTTAAAATCAACCCTGTTCTTGTTCCTATGTCTAAAAATAATTCCTTTCTGCTCTCAGTCATTTTAAAACCTGGCTGGGTAGCCTCACTTCAGGTTTTACTGCATGTGGAAGGTAGTTCAGCACCTTTAAAAGATGCTGAGAAGAGGATTGCCTTCCTGAAGAAGGTGTATTGCTGCAGCGTTAAAAGGTGTGTGAGCTCAGGAAAATAAACCCAGTGCTGCAGCTTTGGGATCACAGTCACCTTGTTCTGGGAATCACGAGCTTTTCTTGACTGTTCCTAGAACTTTGCAGTTTCTGGCCCAATAGTGGCTGAGATTAATAGTGTAATGTCCTTTTCTCTTCAGCCTGGAGAAGAGAAGGCTCCAGGGAGATCTTATAGCACCTCCCAGTACCTGAAGGGGCTACAGGAAGGGTGGGGAGGGACTTTTCATAAGGGCAGTTAATGACAAAACAAGGGGAAATGGGTTTAAACTGAAAGAGGGGAGGTTTAGATTAGATATTAGGAAGAAGTTCTTCACTGTGAGGGTGGTGAGACACTGGAACAGGTTGCCCAAGGAAGTTGTGGCTGCTCCTCCCTGGAAGTGTTGAAGGCCAGGTTGGATGAGGCTTTGAGCAACCTGGTCTAGTGGAAGGTGTCCCTGCTGCTGGCAGGGGGGTTGGAACTGAATGATCTTTGAGGTCCCTTCCAACCCAAACCATTCTGGGATTCTATGATTCTATGATTAATCTGCCTTCCCACAGCCTGAGAGACTGCACCCATGTGAGGCACTTCTTGCAAAGAATAACGGTATTTGAAAAGGTTCAAAGTCTGTAAGAGTTTCCCAAAAAGTGTTTCACAAAATTCTGAGTTTAAGGTTATGCTGGGTTAGAACGTTGGCTCCCTTTCCCTTAGAATTTCTGAGAAATTGTGATGGTTTCACTGGGCTGGCCCTTGGCCAGCAGCCAACACAGCTATTCACCCACTGCCCCCCCATGCCCAGGGGATAGGGGAGAGGACTGGGGGGACAAGGAAAAGGAGGCTCGTAGGGTGAGATAAGAACAGTTTAATAATAGAGAGAAAACTTATAATACTATTAATAGTATTAAAATAGTAAAGATAATGATAACAGTAACAATATATGCAAATGAGTGACCCCCAGTGCCATTGCTCACCACCCGCCCACCTTTTAAGCCCGGCCCGTTCCCAGATCACGATCCCGCAGGAGCCACAATCCCGACCCGAAACCGCAATCCCGGGAGAGCCAGAGCCCGAGCCAAAGCCAGAGAGAGCAAGAGAGGAAGAGCCCCTCACTAATATACTGCACATGATATGACATGGAATAGCCCATTGGCATATCTGTCAATTAAGTTTATTAATTTAAATATTATTCTTCCCCCCTTAAATCTTGTGCTTGTGGACTGACAGAACACAAAATCCTTCACTTCCAGTGACACAGATGTCAACATTTATCAGTTATGAGTGTCTCTCTCACAGCCAGGCCCAGGCTGGAAGCTAAACACAGCACAATTCTAGCTACTGAGAAAGAAAAAGAAAAGAAAAGAAACCCAGCTCTATCTCAGCTAAAAACCAGGACAGAAATCCATCAAGACATCAATTAATTACTCTCATCTTTAAATATTTTTCCTAGGCAATTCGCATTTTGGTTCAGGAGCGCTTGACGCAGGATGCCATAGCCAAGGCCAGCCAGTCCAAGGAGGTTTGTATATACACTGCATGAGTTTAGTGTGAATTATTCCATATTCAGTCAAGAAGTGTAGATATTAATGTCTGTTATCTCAGTCCAAATGGTTCTGTTGAAATATTTCACTTAGGAAGGTGCTGGAAATTTGTTTTATCTTTGGCACACTGATTTAAAAAAACCCCAGAGGATTATGGAGAGTATACAAAGCTTTTTTTGTTTCAGTGGAATGCAGATATATGTACCTGTGTGATATATCATGTAAGTAGCTGTTCTCCTGTCTTTGTGTGTGCTAGAGGATTACCCTTACTGTTCAGTGCAGCAGGCCTGTGGTATGAGAAGAAAAGTATGGCCTGGCTGTTCCTTGGAATTGGCAGTGTTGGCTGCATAAACAGGTTGAAACATTCCTTGTATGGAATGTTTTACTCAGTCTATACACCTTGTGTATGTGTTTAAGGGATGGGTTGTTGCACAGCCAACTCCTCCTTCCCCAAAAAAAAGAGAAATGATGAAGGAAACTTCTGCACTTAAACGTCAGATTTTGCAGGATTATTTTCTAACCATGAGCTGACCGTTTGTAAGATATTCCAGGGTATGACTGAGGTTTTTCAAATTGTCATTTCTTAAACATTCCCAGTTTTTCTGCTTTTCTCTCCAGGATTTGGCACAGCAGCAGCTCCTGGCACTGAGTCTTGGGTGCAGCCAGGGAAGGCAGCCTCTCTTGCTGCTTTTAGACATGTCCCTGCTAAAGGAACAACACCTGGTCAAAGAGCACAAGTCCCTTCATCTTCTGGCAGCTGCTCAGAACAGTCCATGCTTTATTTATTATTATAAAACCACTTATCATGTTTACTAAGTGGCAATTGCAGGTGCTCTGAGTTGTGGTGCAGTAATTGCCAGAAGCATTAGGAACAGTAAATCAAAGCTTTTGGTCTTGTGTATCCATAAAACCATTAAAAGAGCAGGAAAATATGAAAGCAGCTGAGGCTGCTGGAGAGTCATTTTAGGTTCTGTAACTAAATGTTAATAAAAAGCTGCTTGGAGTTGTTGATGTAGCTGACATGCAGGGGTCAAAGTGGGGTTTCCTGTGCATTTGGCAGAACCAGCTGCTTTGAGGAACAGTGAATTTTTCAGATTTGATGGGACCTCAAAGCGTCATTGGGTCTTAGGTTGAAATGTCACTGAATGTGATATTTGTCATTGGGAGCGTGTGCTTATTAAGAATGCTAAATTTCAAGTGAAATTGAAAATAGTTGGGGGATTGGAGGCAGGAAAGCAGCTTTATCTGTGCCAGCAGTGATCATGAACATCCTAACGTACCAGGTGAATGAAGAAGATCTGTTAAAAGCAGAGGGGATAGCTGGGTTGCAGGAGAGGAAAAAGAAAAGCTCTGATTTTGGTTGTTAATGGTCAAAATTTGAGCCAGTGACACTTTGTATATTAAGCTTTGTCCCTGGAAACAGGTTATAAATGTCTGACTGCTGCATGGCAGGCGACTTCGTATACAAAATGTCATGAGTCACATTCTTGGCAATATCAAGACAGAGTGGGGGGGGAAAGATAAAATAGATAGAGGAATATTCTCTGGCTGAAGGATTTGTACAAGGACTGTGCTGGGGACATTTAAACCGCTGCACTTGGGCTTTAAATGTACCAAATAAAATGAGATTTATCCTGTTGGGTTGGCAAGGTGCAGTTTCTGAGATAAGACATGACTCTTTTTATTTTAAGATGATGTTTTGAATGGTTGGCAATTCAATATACTCAGTGTCTAGACAGGATTCAGATTTCCACTGACAGACTCATAGGCTGTCCTGGGCTTTCCTTGCCTGATGAGCTTATCCTAGGTAGGATCAAATACAACACACACCCTTCAGCATCACTTCAAGGATGCTCCCAAAAGCTGTACCTGGGGCATGTTTAAAAACACAACAAAATGTGTATATTTTCCCCCTACTCTGAAATCTGGAAACCTTTTTTTCCTCCCAGTCCCAGGAAATCTTGTTTTACACTTTCAGTGACAGGGGAGATGGCTGAGGTGCTCAGGCCCATTGCAAGTGTTTTGTGCAGCAGTTTTAAGTTAATTTTTGGGGGGGATGAGGCTGAGAAATGAAATAGTCTGTGTGGTAATGGATTTAAAGATGGTCTTAATTTCTTTCCCTGTTTGCTGTGCAAATGAACACGTGCCTGTTGTGCCTGTACAACCCAACTCCTGCCACGAGACCACTGCTATGGGGCTTGAGAATAACCACAGTGGCACCTTCAGACTGGCCTCTCAGCGTTGGAGGTGCCATGGGGTGTTCAAAAAGAATGACACTGGCCCAGGTTGGCCAGAGAAGCTGTGGCTGTTCCTCCCTGGATGTGTTGAAGGCCAGGCTGGATGAGGCTTTGAGCAACGTGGTCTAGTGGAAGGTGTCCCTGCTGCTGGCAGGGGGGTTGGAACTGGATGAGCTTTAAGGTCCCCTCCAACCCAAACCATTCTATGATTCTATATATTTTTAAGATTGCAGTTGAACATCCATTTTGGTCATGGAAAAGAACCACTTTTGGAAAATGAGGAATTAGAGTTAGCTTCACTCAGCATTTTCTATTTAGTTTGCATTGTTTTGATCAATTTATTTATTTTAACCTGTATATAAAGGCCTTTAAAAGAAATCCTCACTGCTGAGAAGGTTCCCAACCCCATCACTGCAGAAACTAACGTTACTGAACTCAAATGTTTTCCTCGTGCCAAATGCATGTGCCAAGGCAAACGTTGAAAAAAAAAATTACAGAGGTAATAAAAGCAAATTCTAAGATTTGCATTGTTTAAATCTAATTTTATGTGCACGTTGAAACATGGTGAGGGATTGCTTTAGCGTGACTGCTCCTCCAGAGCTGGAGAGGGTAAAGGAAAGAGAGAGATTCTTATAAATGGCCACCAATAAAACTTCCTTGTACTGTCTTAATAGACCATGTGTTTAGAAAATTGAACGTTCAGCTTTTATTCCTGAGCTTAGCAATGAAGAAAACGCTCCTGGGGGTATCGATGGAGGTTACAAGTTCAGTGCTTGAGAAACTCACTCCATGACAGAGAATTTTTACAACTCTTCTTCTTTTTATTTTTCACATCAGCCAGTGCTTTGAGAACTGGCAGCTGTTTAAAGGCGATAGTTTCTGAGAGAGCCTCGTTTGTGCAGGCTTTTTTGTTTGTCAGGGGGTAGGGATGTTGCTGGGCTGGGTGTTCTCTCACAGCACTCTTGTTGGCCTTTTAAGGATTGAATATGGGCAGTGTGTATCCAATGGGGTTCTCTTGACAAGTAGGGATTATTATTAAGCATGAAAATTTTTTTCTTTATTAATACTTGGGGTTTGATGTTTCGTGGAATCAAGTGTGACCACTTCTTGAAGTGTCTATCCAAGCAAAAAAAAACTCAGCTGTCCTCTCCTCCAGAGTTACCCACTGAAGTACTTGATATTTTATTTTCCAAACATGCAAAATGACATTTCTAATTATATTTGAACATGCTTTTTCTTTTTTTAAGGGTTTGCCTGTTGCTTTAGAAAAGCACATTCTTGGTTTTGACACAGGAGGTAAGCCATCCTCTCTTCATCTTACTTTTAAATAGTGATGTTTGCCTTTGAAAAAAGGATATTACTGTCAAATACGTAGCTGATGTGTACGGTAAAAAAGCCTGGAGTGGAAAGAATTGCTCCCTCCCAGCTTGTTATTTCCGAGCAATCTTGAGCATTTTGTTTTGGAACAGAAAAGCATAAATTTTAGCTGTGGAATATGTTGTTTCAGAGTCATGTTTAAATAGCTTTTACTGGTAGCCATGTTTGCAAGTGGAAGAAATGCATCTTTAGTGTCGTCTTGTAAATCTGGCTCCTACCAGCAGAGGACCTCTGTGCTGCTTCCCCCTGTTTTACCTGCGTGATTTACCTAAAATCTCCACGCAGGCAGCACAAGTTGGTGTGACCTGATAGATAATAATAAAGAGTTCAACCAGGCCAAGTGCTGGGTCCTGCTCTTGGCTCAAAACAACCCCACGGAACACTCCAGGCTTGGGGAGGAGTGGGGGGAGAGCTGCTGGGCAGAGAGGGACCTGGGGGTGTTGGGCAACAGCAGCTGAAGATGAACCAGCAGAGTGCCCAGGTGGCCACGAAGGCCAACAGCATCCTGGCCTGGATCAGTGTGACCAGTAGGACCAGGGCAGTGCTGGTCCCCCTGTACTGGGCACGGGTGGGGCTGCACCTCAAGTGCTGGGTTCAGTGTTGGGCCCCTCACTCCAAGAAGGACATGGAGGTGCTGGAGCGTGTCCAGAGAAGGGCAACGGAGCTGGGGAAGGGTCTGGAGCACAAGTGTGCTGAGTTCCCTTGTGGCTGAGGGAACTGGGGGTGTTGAGCCTGGAGAAAAGGCTCTGTGCAAGTCCCTTGGAGGAGGGTGGAGAGAGGTGGGGGTGGGTCTGTTCAACCAAGGCCCAAGGGACAGGCCAAGAGGAAATGGGCTCCAGCTGTGGCCAGGGCAGTTGAGATGGGATGTGAGGAAGAATTTCTTTGCTGAAAGGGTTCTGAGGCATTGGAAGGGGTTGCCCAGGGCAGTGGTGGAGTCCCCATCCCTGGAGGGATTGAAGAGTCGTGTAGACATAGTGCTGAGGGACATGGGTTAGAGGTCCAATTGGTAGCATTGGGTTTATGGTTGAACTTGAACGATTTTAAAGCTCTTTTCCAACTACTATGATTCTATGATCTATAATTTTTTAAGGAACAGCCAGGTGACCTGGGACTCCACTAGTCTGGCTTCACTTTTGCCCCACATCCACCTAAATTAGCACTCAGAAGGCTTCACGCTGACCCGATTTGGCTGTGCCTTACTGCACGTGCTGCAGGAAGCTGAGCGAGGTTTTGCAGAGCACCACATCCCTCTCCAGCAGCAGGGAGAGTTGTTTCCCATTTCAGATATGCAAACCCACAAGAGAGGAGGTTTAGATTAGATATTAGGAAGAAGTTCTTCACTGTGAGGGTGGTCAGACACTGGAACAGGTTGCCCAAGGAAGTTGCAGATGCCCCCTCCCTGGAAGTGTTGAAGGCCAGGCTGGATGAGGCTTTGAGCAACCTGGTCTAGTGGAAGGTGTCCCTGCTGATGGCAGGGGGGTTGGGACTGGATGAGCTTTAAGGTCCCTTCCAACCCAAACCATTCTGTGATTCTATGAGTGAAGTGCAGAGCATTGACTTAGATTAAACCTTTCTGAAGACCTTCCTCTCAGATACAAATGTTTGACACGACTTCTCTTTCTGCCACTCACTCCCAGATGCTGTTCTCAACGAAGCCGCCCAAATTCTCCGCCTGCTGCATATAGAGGAGCTCCGAGAGCTGCAAACAAAAATTAATGAAGCTATCGTGGCAGTTCAGGCCATTATTGCTGATCCCAAGACGGACCACAGACTGGGGAAGGTCGGGAGATGAGCAGATCAAAAAGCTTTTAGTCACTTGTGTCCTTAGTACAATTAGGAACTACGTCCAACCCTGCACAACTCCGGCATGCAGTTTGACATGGTATGATTTTACTGTTTTGAAAGAAAACAGGAAACTGAGTTCTGACTTCTGATGAATTCTGACTTATTTTTTTTTTTTCTTTCAATAAATGAAGTTGGGGAAAATAGACAAATTGTTCTGCTGAGCTCTGAGTTGGCAAATAGGACTTTTTTTCACTTGTGTTTGGCTTTGTGTTGAGAAGGGAGTGTTACATAAAGGCTCTGCAGATTCCTCTTTAGCTGAGGTCTTGCCATTAAAACATCTCCCTCTTGGCTTGCTGCTTCTGCACATTCTACCCTACAACTGAAATATTAAAAAAAAACCCTAAATCCAAAGGGAAACTTAAAACCACCATTTTTTTTTAATTATTATTATTCAATTATTGAAGTAACCTAGAAAACGTGAAGCGTTACAACGTAAATGGTATTTCTGAACACGTATTGGTCTACACTGGGTAGGTCTATGAAGGCACTTAGGAGAACCAACAAGCATGAACAGATCAATTCAAGCATATTCTTCTAATATAAATACTAAAAGACATGCATGGAGGCAGTGGTGAAAATACAGAATTGTCTTCTGGAAAAACTTCAATGCCTTTGCTGTATCACGTAAACCGGAGCGCGCACACACACACACAGTCTCTGTCTTCGGGGCTGTAAATTACCTGAGACCCAGCATCCAAAAGCATCCAAAGCTTCCCCCATTGCTGCTTAATTTTTTTGGGATAAAAAGACCTGTTGGTCAGATTGTCAAAACTTATTAAAAAAAAAAAAAAAAAAAAAGAAGAAATTAATCCATTTTTCTTCCAATAAAATAAACTATTTGAATAAGAAAACTACCTTTAAAATTTGCTTGTATAAGCAAGAGTTAAAGTAATGGCCTAAGATTCACAGGACCATTTTAATTATTTTTTTTTAGGTAACATCTCACTGTTTTTCACTTTTTTAAAAAAATACAGTAGTAAAGACTTGAGGTATAACTTGAAAAAATACTGGATTCATCTTTTGCAGGAAAGTCGGTCGCTTCATTGGCCTCGTTTAAGGGGTTTTCTCCCCCCCCCTCCCCACTTAGTTGTATGCAGTGACAGTTTTCTGGGTCTGAAGGTTTTTTTTGGGGTGCAAAGATTGTTGTTTCGAGAGAGAGCAGTTATTATTTCCTTGCTGCAGAGAGAAAAGGAGAACCTTTAGCACATCAAGCACACAAGTGCTGTCAGACTAGACAGAGGGGCTGGGGTTTGTTGTGTTTTACCTCCGGGGCAGTAGGGATAAACTGCAGTTATTCCATAGAGATGTGATCGCTGCTCTGGGAGATACTCATCAGTAAAGGAGCCAGTTTCTTTATCAACAGCTATCACACCATCCCTGGTGATAAAAAAGGGGGAAAAGTGCTTTATCCTCTATGAAACTTGGTTTTTTTCACCCATCTATATGCATTGAAGAACAGAAGCAGCTAAAAAGATTGGTCTGAACACCTGCAGGACAAGGGGGAAGGAATTTGCCCTATAAAATCTACCATCCAGCTCATCCCAGTGCTGCAGAGTCACGGAGACACCCGTCCAAGGGGAGATTATCTCCCTGAGAGTCTCCTCCAAGCACTTAAGTGTTCACTGTAAACTGCAAAGATTTGACTGAAGTTCTGAGAGCTTCCAGCTGGAGTGGGAATAGAGGCGAGTTCCCCATGCTTGAGGGCGTGGGGTGATGGGGGAGAGGGAATGACCGAGGACAGAATCTTTTCTTTGACTTAATCTAAACTCAGAAACATGGGCCAAGTCTTAATTTTTTTTAAACAACACAAAACCCAACCACTCTTTCTGTCCCTCCCAGGAAGCTGGGATTGTTTCTAAACAAGCACTGAGATTTCCAAGCGGGTGTTGCTGAACGTGGCACTGCAGGGGAGCGCTCTGGTGAGGTTCCAGGACTGGGGGACCTGGGAACACACTGGGGACAGCATTATTTTTTCTTCTCTCTATCAATTTTCCCCCTCTATGTTGTTTTTTCCCCCCTCTGTGTTGTTTTTTTCCCCTCAGCATTGTTTTCCCCCCTCTGGCTCAAAGCCCCTCCAGGCTGCTCGCTAGCATGACCCACGCAGGGAGCGACAGAGGCTGCTAAGGGGAGTGGAGCCCTGGGAATTGCCAGCTCAGCATTCCCAGAGGGAGCTGGATTTCTTTCCTTACCGTCTCCAGTCGGTGTGGTAGAAGTGATTGGCGTAACTGATGATGCTGAAGGGGTAGTTGAGGTTGTTCTGTATGACACGCCGTCCTGTGCCATCGGGGAAGGTGCACTCCAGGTGCTTTGTTCCTTTCCAAACACAAAAACAAGTTACCAGGCCACAAAAAAAACCCCCATCAAACGTGGGTTGGGTTTTTTTTTGTATTTACTACATTTTCAAACAGCATCTCAGCCTAAAGATGTAGAAGCAACTCATACTGTGAGCCCCCTCAACCCCATCACACCACATCCTTTGGGGCAGGGTAATGGAATTGGGCAGAGAAGCCAGAGACCCCATCACACCACATCCTATGGGGCAGGACAATGGAATTGGGCAGAGAAGCCAGAGACCCCATCACACCACATCTTTTGGGGCAGGACAGTGGAATTGGGCAGAGAAGCCAGAGACCCCATCACTCCACATCTTTTGGGGCAGGACAGTGGAATTGGGCAGAGAAGCCAGAGACCCCATAACACCACATACAGCTAGAGCTGTTTTTCATCACACCACATCTTTTGGGGCAGGACAGTGGAATTGGGCAGAGAAGCCAGAGGTAGCAATGAGCTGAAGACATCTAGAGCTGTTTTTTTTTCCCCTCAAGGTTTAGTTTGTCATGTTCTGATCCATCCTTGGTGACCTTACCTGCGTCTGCCCAACAGAGCAGCTTGGAGAAGGGGTCGAACGTCAGGCCGTTGGGCAAACCGATGTCTGTGTTCACCAGGACTCTCCTGTTGGCTCCATTGACAGTAGAAGTTTCAATTTTAGGTGCTTCACGATTCCAGTCTGTCCAGTAAAGGTTCCTTGGGGAATAATGATATAAAGAACAAAGAGGACACAGCACAGTAAGGAGTGGTAGGAGATTTATCAGCTTTCTCTTCGTTACTGCTTCTCGTCAGGAGAGAGGTCTGGTTTTCTCCTTAGCAGTGCCTGAAATAAATCTTAATTTCATTTAAAAAACAATAAATCTAAAAACCAGAATGATGTTAAACATGTTTACAACCCCAACTGTAGCTCCCAGACGAGGGCGAGTCTTGGGAGCAGCACATTTTATATCACAACAGCACCCCAGAGGCACAGCTTCGTGTTTTCAATCGCCGGGTGTGTTTCAAAGCTTTTAAAAAAATAATGTCTGACCCAAGGCTGAGACAGCAGGTTTAACCCAAATCCTCAATGATCACAGAATCACAGAATGTCAGGGAATGGAAGGGCCCTCACAAGAAAATACAG